AAAAAAAAAAAAAAAAAAAAAAAAAAAAAAACAGGTCAAACCTGTGCGGCTTGCAATGGATAAAATCTTGTACTGGCCCCAGCATTGGGCAAGGCAGTATGAGGGCACTTCAAAAAGTTCATGTAAAAATAGAATTGAAAGATAATACGAATCTTTCCATGAACTTTTTGAAGACCCCTCATATATACAGTGGGCACTAAATTAATGCTGAATGAACAAATGGGCTGGGAGTGAGACACAGTAATAATAAGATAATAGGACCTTTTACTTTTGAGGTCTCCTGAAAAGGTGCTAATCCAGAAAGATTCATTTTCCAGATGAACAAGAGACGCCCACCCCACCGTCACTCATCTGAGGTTTTACAGATGAAGAAACTGCCTAAGGTCACACAATTCAGTAAGTGGTGGAGCTGGGGTATGAATCCAGGTAGCCAGGCTCCAGAATCCAGGCTTTTACCCACTACGTTATACTGTTTGGGGAGGGCCAAGGGATGTTCACAGACCCCTTTATCTCCCCCCAAATCCAGACAGGCAGAGGTCATGTCTTAAACCACACTTGTGGTTTGGATGGGTCTCCCAGACCCCTGGGAGTGTGAGGGCCCTGCCTCCCCAAGGAGACTGGAGGCATGTGAGAAGCAACACCTGACTGTCCTTGAAGGAATAAGGGTGGGAAGGGGGTGCACGATAGGACTTAGGTTGTTGACTGTTCCACTCATGGCAAGAAGGGGCTACCATGCCATTTCAGACCTAGGAGCCATTTCTCCAACCAGCTCACAGCTAGACTGGCAGGCAGACAGAAATAACCATTTGGTTGATTCTGTAACTCACGGAGCAACAGGGAGAGGGGCAATTTGAGGAACTGAGTGCGGTTTCCTGATGCTGGAGGGTACTAAACATCTAACTGAATGACAGCCCGCCTAGGACTAGCTGGGGCTGGTGGCCTGACAGCGGAAAAGAAAGGCAGCTTCCTGAGGGCCTTACAGGCCGTCTGGCTGATGACCTGTGGTGCTGCTGCCAGCCTGGGAGGTTTGGGAGGCCGTACTCTGTGAATAGCTGACTATTGCTAGGAATCACACCTGGTGCTGTATAAAGGAGGGCCACCCTGAGGAGGAATTACTGTTGATCAACCATCCACCCTGCCTGAATCACAGCATGTTTGAGGGCCTGGCTGGGTGCTCTGACTGACTGATCACCAGCATAGACAGTGTGGTCAGTCGGATACTGAGAATGTTGTCACCTGGCTAATTGATGACAGATGAGGGGCAGATTGGAGTCACGGGCCAGCTGACCAAGGGCAGGATCAGTGTGGCTGCCTGACTCCATGGCTGTGTACGTGGTTATGGACTGTCTACCCTGATAGACTCCCAGCCTCCCTGAGGGGCCTACTGCATCAGAGGCTGTTGATGGACTGACCGATGGTGGGGATGAGTGGCCTGAGAAGTGACAGATGGGCTGACCCACTGACATGGCGTGGAGGCGTAATCGTACCTCTAGTTGTTTTGACCATTTGCTCTGAGGGCCTAGCTGGGTGTTGTGACAGGATCGTGGTGTGAATGAGGAACAACTCAAGGGAACTACGGTGACCAACTGACAGTGT